ATGCATTTTTCAAAATTTCAATCTGATTGGCTATAGATTTTGCATGTAGTTTATTCTTATCACTGAGGTTGTGAACATTTCTCCTATCACTAAATCATTTCTAAAGACATTTTTTAATGGTTGCTGAATTTACTGTGGCAAGAATGTATCACAGTGTGTGGATCTTATCCTTGGTATTGGATAGTTAGGTCATTTCTTATGTTTCAGTATTGAAAAGAACACTGCAGGAACATCACTGAAGGGAAATCTTTGTCACATTCTAATTGCTTCTTTGAGACAGGTTCCTAAAATTAGAAGCCCTGGCCCAAGGACATAAGGATTTCTGTGGGTTTTTATGTCTAGGGCCATGTTTCCTCTGGAATTTCTATGGGTGAGTTATGTTTCTCTGTACTCACCTTATAAAACTCAGGTTGAGATAAGAAGTCTCACATATAACCAACCCATCAAGTATTAGAAGGTGACTCACAAATATCCCAAGTTCCATCCCATCCATCGGCTAAACAGTAATTTGTTTGTTTGTTTGTTTTGTTTTTGAGACAGGGTCTCACTGTATACTTCAGGCTGGCCTAGAGCTCACTACGTAGCCAAGGCTGGTCTTGAACTCATGGCAATCCTCCTGCTTCAGTCTCCCGAGTGCTTCGATTACAAATCTGAATCACTATGCTTGGCTCCACAGCCATTTCTTTAAAATTCTCCCAAAGCTACTTTCCAAGCTCCTTGCTGTACTAGTGATTGAGAATTCTCTGGCTTGTAGTTATAGTTTTAAAAATGTGCTACTTAAACAAAAGCAATATACCAAATGTGGCCTGATCATTTCATCTCTCTTATTTTGTGTACTTTTGTAAATGCAATCTAGGATTATGTAGGATTTGGTTTTAGCAGCAGGTGGTCATGTAAACTGGTGGTGTGCTGACACTCTGAGGTCTTATACTCTGGTTAATTAGAATTTCTTCCATTTGGTACTTACGTGGTTGATTCTTTGAGGCTGGCTGCATTTGGCAGTAGGAGAGGTGAAACTTGGGATTGAACCCAGGGCCTTTGCACTGAGCTACATCCTTACCCCTATTTTATTTCTTATTTTGACACAGGGTCTTGCTAAGTCCTTAAATTACCTGAGTGGGGCTCAAACATGTAATCCTCCTGCATCAGCTTCCCAGAGTGCTGGGATTACAGATGTGCACCACCATAGTTTAAAGACCAGTGATGTCCCCAGAAAGCCCAATGCTTGGTCCCTCAGGTGTTATCACAGCACATTGTCCAGGGGTCTCACCTGAGGCGTTGGCCCAGCCTGTCCCTATGCGGAGGTTGGGAGAAGGTCACAGGGTTGATGAGACCTGGACTGCCTGGCGCCACCTGGGCCGCCCATCTACTTAAAAGCTGTTCTCAAGAGTGACTGGGATCTTGGCTTGAAACAACTCTGGAGAAGAGTGTGTCTGAGCCCTCAGAGAAGGACTCTCATGTGACGCAGGATGGTCCCCTAGCCTGTGGGGGCCCTCCAAGTCCCTGCCCACTGGGCTCCTCTAGCCAGACGCAGAGGTGGGTGTGGAGACAGCCAGGGCTCTGACTTGCTCTGCCTCTCTTCCCTATGCAAATAGAAGGCAATTCCTTCACAAAGCTTGGACTTCACTGGGTTTTATAGACAGGTCTGAGTATTAGCAGGACCTGTGGCAAGAGTATAAATCAAGGCCTGAGGCCTGCCCTGGACCCTCAGCCCCAGCTCTTAACTCTGAGAGGTTTTGTGCACAGATGTATGCACATTTCTTCTCCTTTCATAGACCCCCTGACAGCCACTCCTAGGTACCCCCAAGGCATAGGCGTATATATAGGAGCAGGCTTGACAGAGTGGGGTTCTGGGTGGGCTTGTTCCCTTTCCTCAAAACTCCTTACCTCATGGGAAGAATTGTGAATGAGGCGGCAAAGCAGAAGCCAGAAAAGAGCCTTTGAAGTAAGCACATGGCGTAGGGCAGGGGTCCTGGCTGTCCCAGGGTCTAAGGTGGCATTGCTCATGGTCAAATTGTTAAATCAGTCTTTTCCTCTGTAGATCTCTCAGTTTCTGTGAGGAGGGTGGGCAGAAGGGAGGGCAGATGTCTGGAAGGAGCAGCTGAACCTCCCCCCAACCCCATGGACAGAAAACCTACCTACAAAGTGACTGGGCCCAAGTCCAAATTATCTGTGGTACCCAAAGGCAAGAAACCGCAAGGCCTCGAAAGATGCTGAGATGGCAGGGAAGACATTGGTCAGGGGCCAGAGAGCCTGAATTCTCATTCTGGGACCTAGTCACCCAATGTTCTGACCATGGCCTCAAAACATTTTGGGTACCTGGAGTTAAGATCACAGGTATGAAAGAATATGCCTCTCAGTGGCCTCCAGGACCTCTGAAAGCAGGTCCCACGGCACCCACATATCCATGTGGTTGGCTCTGTTGCTGCCCTCTTCCCTGTCCTAGGGAAGACAGCGTCCTGTTCATCTCAGGAGCTCCTCTCTGTGCTCATTCAGTATTTGGTTACCACGAAGGATAATGAAACTCTTATTTAATTCAAATCAGTTCAATTCCCTCTTGCTCAACTGTCTCCCATCAACTATGTCTCTGTCTTTTATTGCAATCATCATTTGCTTTTTCTGAAGGAGGTAAAGCAGAAAATAGAAACATACATTAAAAATAAACCCCCTGCCTTGTACTTCATATTTTTAACGTGCTTTCACATAAAGTATTTCATTACAGACTCAAGCAGCTGCTGTCGTAAAATAAGGTCTCAGATGTAGAACCCATGAAAACCAAATGAAAAGAAACCTTGAAAGCAGAAGGGAGGAAAAGAAGTGCGATTAGGCCTGTGGCCCCATAGTGATTGGGTATCTGCTTGTAGCCACCACTAGGTGATGGGTTTGGAAACTTCTCTTACTTCTAAAATCTCCTGTCTTTGTTTTTAAAGTTTCTTTTCCCTGTGTTGTGCTGCTCCTTGGAAATGAAATTTTAAAATCTCAGAGCTAGAAGAAGCTGAATTCATCGGTTAGGATAGAGGTTCTCATAGTGCAGCCCCTGGGTTGCTGTCCTGGAATTTGTCCCAGGGTCTCAGGCCCCACCCCTGTCCAGCTGACAAGAGGCTCTGGGGCTGGGTCCAATCCTCCATGCTCTAACAGGCCTGGCAGGTGATTCTGGCCCATGCCGGAGTTTGAGAACCAGTGATCTGGGCCAATGGCCAAATTTCAAAGTGAGGTCCCTGGGCAGAAAGGCCATGTCACACACACAGCCAGCCACGGAGGCCAAGTGCACAGCCAGTTCCCAGGATCCCTCTGCTGACCTCTGGGCTCTGTGTTCACTGTCCACTCCATGTGTGAGGCTGCAAGATTATAAGGCCAGTGTCCCCCTCAGCAGTGAGGGCTAGTTTTTGCTGGTAGGTGACTTATGTGTTCTGTCAGACATGTGCTTTGGGAAGTCGCAATCTTTTGGGGCCACATGATGACCGAAACTGGGAATACACCCTTACACCTCCCACCTCCCACAAATATGTGTGAAGGAGTAAGCCCAGAGTCTGCCTTGCATCAAGTAGACCAGCAGCCTTACCAAGCCGGATCTGTTAGCTGGGGGTGGTGGAATTGGGTAGTGTTGCCCCACTCTGATTCCTGTTTAAACATGCAATACAAAAACAAAATAAAACAGGCAGAAGTGCTGGCAACTTGATCCTGGATACTGACATTCATGGGATAGTTTTGAAACAATAAAAAGTATTTATTACGCGTCAACCCTGGACCTGCGTAATTGGATATTTACTGAGTAGCTGCCATGTGTCAGACTCAAGGCCAGGCCAGTGAGTCACTGGGATTGCAGTAGGGCACAGCTCCCCTGTGTGACGCCATCTGTGCACTCTCATTGCTCCCGCTAAGGGGCCCAAGGGCCATGTGATGGACCCAGGCCCAGGGTCTGGGTTATCACGACAAAGATGCCAAGTCACCTGCTGAAGAGGAAGATGATCATGGAATCAGGCTCCAGACAGCTGGGCAAGCTTTTGGAAAACTGGGGAAGGAGTGTCCAGATGAATATAAAATGATTCAAACTTTGTGTGGCCTGGAGCTTTGCCATAAACTGGATGGAACTGGAAGAGACAGGGGCTGCAGTGAGCCAGTGAGGTTGGTTGACTCAAATCCAACCAAACAAGACCCAAGCCTGGTTCCCTGGGGATTGGGAGGCCCAGGGAGGAGCAGGAGTCTGGGGATGGCAGGAAATGAGTAGGTGGTCATTAGGGAGCTGGGAAGGCAGTGGTCATGGAAGGCAGCCCCTGGCATGAGACGCTAGCCAGGCAAGGACTAAAGCTGATCAGAAACAGTGGCTATACTTGCGGTGTGTGTGTGAACCCAGGCCTGGGATGCCTGTTTGGCCAGTACTTTCCCATTTGTCCCTCCTGAAAATTTTTTAGGCGAATTATAATATGCCAAGAGCCATCTCAAAGACTTTCTGAGTCCCCATTTCACTAATCTGCCTCTTTGCAGCCTGGAGGACAGATGTGGAAATTAAGGGACAAACACTTAAGTCTCTTGAGACTTGCCAGGGACCCATGGCCAGAAAGGACCTGAACTGGTCATAGAGTTGAGATCTTCCTGCTCAAAAGCCAATGCTGTTTAAAACATGTCTTCTTGGGTTCTTGGTGCTTAGAGAGGTTAGAGAGAGTGACAGGCAGAACACTCTATGGCAGGAGACCACAGGGAGCCCAAATATCTGGTATACCCTGAAGCTGGTGCAGGAGAAAGGGAAGAAGGAAGCAGAGGGCTGGCCCTTAACTCAGAACACTCTAGGCAGCACTCCTGTACCTCCCAGTGTGGCAGCATGGGAAACTCACGGGATATAGACTCAAGACTCCTGTTGTTGCTAGTTACTGAGAGGCCCCCAAGGGGCCATATGTGTCTGGGAATACCTGCTGAGGTTAACGCATACAGATGTCAGGAGGGCTAAAAAAATCCAGCTGTTCCATGCAAAGGACAGTGACTTCTATTTATCCATTCAACAGGTATCAGTGAAGCACCTGCCATACCGCATAGGTGCTGTGGTCTCAGCAAAGGTGCCGGGGTCTCTGCAAAGACAAGTCAAAGGTGAGATCCCAGCAACATCACAATAACCAGTAAGGGAGGAGTGCCACAGCTCGGAATCCCCAGGTCATCTGTTACTGTTGGGGTCCTCCTTCCTTTTAGTCCAAACACTAGCTGTAGTTCTGAACTTCTTGAGTAAGTTGATGCTAAATGCTGCTGTTGATCCCGTTTCACCCACAGTGAAACAATAGCCTATAGGAAGGGTACTAGACAAGTGGGCTTTCCTGAAGCCCAGGCCTTTTGTAAATAGCCTCAGGGCCTCTATGCCTTTGCTGCTGAAACCCACTGATTTAGCTTCTTTTTAAGAGATTTCTTGTAAGTTCTGCTTGTAATTAGATTCCCAGTGAATTGAATGACCCCAGATGTAGACAAATAATGGGACTGGGGAAGAGTGATAAAATCTTGCACGGGTTGGCCATTTCAGAGGACTAGGGGACAGATTGTCTCAGTATACTCTTATCAAGTTCCATGTAATGATTTAGGATTTGCTATTAGGCACAACTCAGCTATAGTTTGGATAATCCTTGTACTCTGATTCCCCAAAATGAAGGATCATTCTGGTGTGAATCCTCCTCCCCTTCTGGGCATCTGGATTACTCACTGAGTTCCTGGTAGCAACAAAATGGAACTTGAATTAGGTGCTCTCTATACTGACTATGTGACCTTGAGTGAGATGCCTAGCTTGTTGAACCTGATTTTACTCAACCATGAAACAAGGATAAAAATACTCATCCTGTCTGGATTAGGAGCAAACTACCGTCACTGTGATCACTGCTATTCTCTTCAACGAATGTACATTTATTGCATACAATGTACTACGCATTTTATGTGAAGAACTCTATTGATTCCTCAAAATATTTCTGTGATATGGATGTTTGTGGTACTTGTACCTTGTCAGTAAAGAAATGAACAGTTCTCAAGTAACCTTCCCAGTTAGGCAGTAATGAGGCAGTCATCTGGATCCAGCAAGCTGACTCCACGTCTGAACTCTTCGATTCCCTTATTATTACTTGGGGAGCAGGTCTCCCCTTATTTTCAGTTGCCTCTGCACCTTCTTCTGGTTTTATTGTTTTCTCCATTCTACTTAGGAAGACTAGATTCTCCTTTAGATAATATTTCCCCAAGTGCAAAGAAGTACAGTGGCATCTCTTCCTTGCATGATTCCTACTCCTTCCGGGTAAGCTGCTTTCACTTCCAGGTGACTAAAAATGTCCTCAGGCCACATCCAACATGGCTGATACCTGGCTCTTTCAGTATTAAATAGCACGTGAGGGACACAACTGGGCCTAAGAACAGGAGAGAGTGGCTTGTGGAATGAGCTCAATTTGTACACTTTCCGAGGGCGTGGGGGAAGAAAGGACAGTGACTTGTTGCTTGGGAAATGCTTGTGAGTGGCCTGGTATTTTGAGAATGTGCTCAAACGACCAAGGGATGTTTTTCCAACCTCTCCTTCTCCTCCCCATTCCTGGGATGTTACTTTGGACTTCACCACTTTTTCCCAGGCACTAAAGAGAGCGTGAAGTCTTGTTTTTTCAATGCTTAGTGCTAATTTCATCATGAGCAGCCCTATCTCTGTACCAGTATGTGCCTGAGTCAATGTTAGTATTCCATGCTGTCTAATTTACCCTTTGCCAGCCTGTGAGGGAGTTTATTATCTTCATTTTACAATTGAGAGAGTGGAAATTTAGAAGAGTGAAGCAATCTCCCCACAGTTGTATAGGTGGAAATAATGAAACTAGGATTCAGATACAAGATCTGGAATCTTACCCACTATGTTACTCTCCATGACTCATGGCATGCCCCTAGGCATGTTCTCAGCAGAGACAGTGCCAACCTGGTGGCCCTCTATTGGTTTTTATGTACTCATCTAGGCTCTATAATGCTTCTGCACCCCCTGGGCACTTGGCTTTTTTGTTCATGCAGTCACTTCAGGGATGTTCTCACCTTGCAGGACCATTGCAAAAACAAATCAAAGACTGTTATTCAGACCTAATCATTTTCTGGTGTTGAACATTGGAGGAAAAGTGACCAGGCACAGATTTTGATAGGGGTTGTAAACACAGGGAACCAGCAGTGTCAACTAAATAACCCAAAGCTGAGAGAGGCGATCCTGCATGTGAATATTCAGGAGAGGTGAATGAGACAATAACCTCACCACTGGTTTGCAGAAGGAAGTATGAGCCTGGCTTGGGAAGACTTTGAGAGCTAGATGATAGGGTGGTGAGGCTATGAGAGAACTCTGACTGCAGACCCAATGTGTGGTATTGTTCAGGTGCCAGAGTCTGTCTGGGAGCTTGTTGGAGGAAGCTGTGGCCTGATGTCTTAGTCTGCTTGGGCTCCTGTAATAAAATGCTTTGGAGTGGGAAGCTTATAGGCAACAAATATGTCTCTTGCACTTGTGGAGGTAGCCAGGAAACCTCTAAGCTGTCTGGTGAGGACCAGCTTGCTAGTCCCTGAAGTGGCTACGTGACCTTCTTGCACGGTCCTCACACAGCGGAAGTGATTGGGTCTTTCTGGAGTCTTTTCTCTAAGGTCACTAATTCCAATCATAGAGGCTTCACCCCTACGACCTAAATCATCTCCCAAGGATCTTATCTTCTCACACCATCACCTTGGGGATCAGATTTCAACACGAGAATGTGCATGTGTGTGTGTTTGTGTCTGTATGTGACACACACAGATATTTGGACTGCAGCACCTGTCCTTTCAGGCTTTTAAGACATGAGGGAGACTTCAACATAAGCCCCTGCTGATTTTGAGTAGGGAAGTAACCTATTTCCATGGCCTGCATGGATGCCATGAAGCCACAATGCCACCTATTTCCATGACACCACTTATTTGGGGAAGATCTTTGCACTTTGACTTGGAGGGACTCAGATAGCCCACCAGGTGTTATGGGAGTGCTATAAGAATCCAGGTGCCAGATAAGGATGGCCTGGCCCAGGGCCGTGGCAGAGGGGATGGAGAGGAAGTATGGGGTACTAGTGACATCATAAGAGGGAGATGGCCAAGTCATGGGCAGTGGGAGAAAGGAAAGGATTCCCTGCATGACTGCATTGGGCTGAGCACTGTCTACAAACCCAGATGCCCCACATACTAGGACAACATGGCAGGAGCTTCTGTGCTGGTGCTTCTGTGTGCTGGACTTTTAAGTTTGCACAGAGCCTTAGAATCCCCACCTTTCTCTGCTTTCTTACATTTGGATTCTTTTCCTCCTAATGATGGTCATAGTCATAACTATAATAATTATGAATGCAATAATATGGTTCAGAATGGATTGAGAGCCTTTCTCTGTCAAGGCTAACGAGGGAGAGGTGAGGGTGGGAGGGGTGCCCGGCAGAAAGAGGATATTATCCGATTGGCTGGAAAACAACTTTCAGCTGTGTGGAGAGGACACAGCCAAGAAGGACGTGTTTCCGACCTTTCAAGCATGGACATGTCTTAGATAAGATCACATGTCCTGTGCTATGAACAGCAAGGTAGAGCCCTGGTGCCTCATGTGTCTCCTAGACACAGCTGGTAATGATGGAGAAGAATGCTTTGAAGCTTTGTGTCCCCTCCCACCTTCCAGCTCTGAGAAGCCTTCCCAGGGTGGCCAGTGGAAAGTGACCCTCCATTCCTACCTCAGCTCTCTTGCTGCCAATCATACAAGTCATCTTTAGTAGTACACTCCAGAGCACAGCTCTTTATCAAGTGTTAAGCCTGTTTGAATTCATTATCTTGTGTAATCCTCCCAACTGCAGAGCATTATCACTATCATTCCCGCTATAGATCCATCTATTGGAAAAACTTGGGTGGAGCAGAGAGTGCTAAGTAAAAGTAAAGTCTGTGTGGGGACAGTTACTGGACACCCAAGCCAGGTCCCCTTGGGTTAAATGGCTGAAGCCCACACTACATTTCCGACCCACCACACAAACCACCACATTCAAGCACTTTTGCGTGTTTCAGGTGCTCATTTCTTTTCCCCAGACACATGGGACAAACCTTAGAATAAATCAAAGGACTTAATTTCTCTCCCTGTTCTAAGTGGGAGGGCTAGATTGCTTCTTTGACTGTGCTTATGCTGCCCTCTTGCGGTGAAACTTAGTGCCAACTGATCTTTTTTTTCTCCCCCAGGAGGAAATGCAGGGAAGGGTTTCAGTACTAGGCACCAGGTGCTGGCTACACAGGTAAAAGAAAGGCACAACGTTTTGTCTTCTTAGAGGGGAGGAGAACAGAATAGAGAACTTAGGTCTCAGCTAATGCACTGGGAGAAAGCTTCAGATGAGGCCTTAGAAGCGGCAGAGGTCACATCAAGCATAGCTTTCTAGAACATCCTCTGCACAGTGAAAAGCACTGCAAGGGTTTAAGAAAAAGGGTGAGTTAGGGTAAAGTCTGTAGGGTCAGCTACTGGATACCCTAGCCAAGTCCCCCAGAGTTAAATGGCTGAAGCCCACACTACATTCCCAGCCCGATGAGATACCCGTCGAGGCTCTCTGTATTTGTACCTGGAGTTTCCATTGAATTCAAGAAGCAGGTGTCAAAAGCCATGCTGGCCACACAGTGACTCACCCTTGGGTAGCTGCATGTAGAATTTTACAAAACACTGAAGACTGGGCCCCATTCACAATCAATTAAATCAGAAGAGCTGTAGATGGGCCCAGACCCAGGCAGATGTTCAGCAGCTGTGTGTGGTTGTAGTGCACTGCTATAGTTGAGAACTGCCATGCAGCACAACTTGGCCTCAGATCAGGGTGCCCAGTAAGGACCCACCTGTGAGGCTGAGGGCTCCAGGGGCCTATGAGATTCTGGGGCAGTGGACTGGGGTGCTAGAGGGCTGGCCATCGCCCTTGTGGCTGTGAAGGGAGAAGGAGAAAGTAGATTGCAGAGCCTAGACGAGAAAGACCCAGGCTTGTGTCTGGCTGGATATGAAAGTGACACACGTGTCAACATGATTGTTTTTATTGCAATGGAGGAAAAAGAGATCCAGAAAAGTCCTACGTTGGAAAGGAGTCAGGGCAGAG